TTTGGATCTTGCCCATTTTTTCTGACTTTTCAAAAGCTGGGTGGAGCTAGTTCACCACACTGGGCCAAACTCCCTTCCTATTTACACCCCTGTGACCTCACTTAAATTTTTAATGAGATTGCAAGGCTGTAAGGGAGCAGATTTTAGCCCATTATAGCCAGGGCTCAGCAATTTCACTGCAAGCCTCTGCTTTTCATTAATGTATACGCTCCTCTCTCTCAAATTAAATGACCTTTTGCGGAGAAATTTCTCCCGCTTAATCACAGCTCAGAGACAAATGGTTTTTTGGAAAAATGTGTAGAAGACTGAGCCAGTTGAATGACCAGAGTGTGAAATAAAAGGGGTTTGGGTGGTTTCGGAGGCTGGGGTGGGAGGGGGTTGAAACAGAAATCTCAAGCACTTGTTCTTGCACATGGAGAACTGAAGCAGATGAGATTTAAAACATCAAACTTGGCATGCGTGTAGTCCTCATTGAGGAATGTACACTTGGCTAGACTTGAAAAATACCAGCTACAGAACAGAGATGGCATGAATGAGTGAAGCAGAACAGCATGCACCAATGTACAGGTGCATTCCATTATAATCCTGCACAGCGGTGCACAGCCCAGGTATTGGGCTGTATGCTGGCCTGCTCCAGGGAGCACGGGCAAGAGTTGGGGGAGAAATACTTGCCTCCTCTGTCTGTAGAGCCACTCTGCATACAGTGCTACAGCTCTGAGGCTGCCTGGGGCATGCTCCCTCTGCAGGGGGAAAGATGGGAAGATCTGCATAGTAGAGGATACTCTAGTCCCATTCCTATACATTCCACCCATACCTGCCCCCTTTGTGCTGGTATGCAGGGGAACCCCTAGGGTGCTGAGCTCTGTACCAGGCCTCGGGATCCTCTCCCCTCTTGCACAGTGGAATTGTATCCATTTTCCTGCCAGGGGAGCCCCCACTGTCAGAGGGGCAGTATTTGCACCTTAGTGGAGCTATGAAAGATGCATGTCCCTTCCTGTTTTAAAAGCAGGTCTGAGAAGTGGCCCAGCGCATCTGGCAGCATGCTGGCTAAACCCCCAACCCTGTACATTTCTCACGGTGTCAGAGCCACAAGGCACAGTGCATTGAGCAGGCATCCAGGACCACAGCATGTGAAATCTGAACTGTATGTGTGTTGCAAAGAGCCACATTCAGTTGCAGTGTTCCCTTTACTCTGGTACCTACCACGAATCTTACGTGGCAGGAAGCAACTTGCACTTGGGCCCTCAACCTGCCGGAACCTATAGTAGTGCCTGGCAGCACTAGGGACCAGCAGGAAGCCTCAAACCAGCAAGGAAGAGTGAGGGGTGGGGGCGGAGGCAACCAGAGCTCTGGAGGGAGCACGACCAGCACCCAAGTCCTGTTCTGCCTGCGAGGTCCTCCTGCTGGAACCTGCGGCAATTCCTCTGGGCATTTCCTCTGGGCACCATGGGAAACCTCAAGCCAGCAGGGAAGGGTAAGGAGCCAGGGTTGGGGGGGAGGCACAGGCCAGGGGCTCCATTTGGGGGAGATTGGGAAGCTGTACGTCCAGGGCGCAGGCGCTGGCTGCGGAGAGCTTGGTCCCGAGGGCTGGCGGTGCTAAAATGAGCCCCCAGCAGCCAGGCCCAGTAAGAAGCTGCAGAGGGGGATGAAGGGGAAGCCTGTGCTGCCCCCACTGCCCAGGGGGTGGGAGAGCAGGGCTGGCTGTGGGGCAGAGAAGGAAAGACCCTAAAGTCCCTTCCCCCAAGGAAGCATCGAGACAGCAGGGAGGGGAGCCTGGGAGGAGATGGAAGGGGTTTCCTTCAGGGGCTGAGGCTCCTTACAGGGGATGGGTGTAGGGGCTCATGCCGGGAGAGGCAGGGGCTCCTGCTATCCTGGGTTTCTAACTTGGTTGGGTTGTTAACTCAAACTCTTGAAAGCTAATAGGTCCTCAACCCACTGTGATATTTGCCTGTGTGTTCCATCTGGATGTGTATTACTGAAACGTCACTTTAAAACTACCTTATTCTTTTCAATCCAATACAGTGTAAAAAGACTTCCGAAAAAAGAAAGTTTCAGCTTGCCCAAGGACAAAAATGTAGTGGAGTTTGTAGCTCACTCAGCACAAAGAAAATTTAGAAAAAAACATTGTTCAGCTGTGTGCTCGATAGTGCACAGTCCCATACCGGACACTGGCGTTTTCTTTTCAGAGCAAGGAAACTAAACTGAAGCCATTAATTCACTGCTGGGGCTCTGATTTTGCACAAACATCAAGATATTCAGCGTTATGCTTCCCATATTGGCTATAACTCAGTGAAGTTGCATATACAGGGTCCCATTGAAGTTAGGGACAAAACTCTCATTAATTCCAACGGGTGCAAGTTCAGGCCCATACCATATAATAGATGAAATCCTACTCCCCTTATTAGCACGGCTAGTCCTAGTGACATCAGTGGGATTCCTGGTGTGAGCGAGCAAAGGATCTGAGGATCTGACCCACAGCAAAGCAAAACACTACCTATGCCTTACTTGCTGTGAGAATCGGGATGAAATCCTGCCCCCTTGGAAGTCAATGGACATTTTACCACTGACTCTAAGGAAGCCAGGGATTACATCTCATAGGTGGAAATTTCCTGACTCCTATGCTTGTGAACTCACCGCCATACCACAGCTTTTGGCATTTCACAGAATTATTTAATGTGCCACTTAACCATTGCACTAGGCACCTGTACCACATTTACAAAAATACAAGCTGGTCCAATGTCTACAATTAAAACCCGACTGACTCTCCCTCCAGCCCAGCAGAGTCCTGAGAAAGGAGAGAATGGCACGCCGAAGGTCAACAGATTCATTCGTTGCCTTGAAAACAGGGCTGAGTTTTAAAACGGCCATTAACATCCCTGACGCTGACACGCTGTGCTATGATTCATAGCACTTCAGCCTCTCCCCTCCATCGCCATCCATATGCGGTTTATTTTTAAACTGCCTGTTTTTTATATTAACGTGCTGCTTGTCTGTAGTTTGCTCTCCTCCACTGGGCACGGGGCAAAGCCCAGCCTCTGCTTCTGTCGCTCAATTCTGCAAAGTGCTAAGCACCCTCCGCAACTCCCATTGACTTCAATGACACTGGAAGGTGTGCAGCCACTAACTAGCATACTCAGCATATTGCAGGATGGAGCCCCAGATGACCTTGCATGAGGCAGCCTACTGACTGGAGGATGGCTGGCGGGTCTTTGTCCTTTAAACTTTTTTTTTTCTTGCAGACAAAAGGGTGTATCCCTAGTTGGAATGAATGCATTTCAGGACCTTAGTATCTCATTCAGTTATAAGAACAGAGACAGGTCTCGGGTTGTTTAAAGGGAACAGGCGGGAGCCCAACAGAAAGGGTTTCTCTTACAGCAGAAAACAGGCTCATTTATCCCTGTGCAGACAGAGTGAAGGATCCGAGTGCAGTTAAACACCCTCCCACAGGACAAAAATTCCACAACTTCAAGAGACCCCCAACTTTTAAAGAGTCTGGAAATGAGTCGTTCCAGATCCACTTTGAACCTTCCTCCCCTAACCACACCCTGCCTACTCTAAACCCACTCACTTTCCCCTAAATACTCCACCCCTTAACCATCCCCCAAACCCCTGTTCTTTTTCCTAAACTCCACTCCCCCCCACGCTACACTTTGTATTGCCAAAAGAACAGGCCAGATTCCCTTGGAGGTAAACAGGAGATGGGAGACAGGATGGTAGTAGGGAAAACAAAAACACGCTTGAAAGCTGGGGGTTGGGAAGAAGGTCAAGGGAAGGGATGGATCATGATAGCGTAGAACATGGGAAGGAAAAGGGCTGAAGGAGACAAAAGGAAGGAGATGTGGGAGACTGGAGTGAAGGAGAACAGCCTGGAGTGGGGAATGGTACATGCCTCCTGAATGGCGTCAGTCCTGTCTTTAAAGTAATGAGGGAACTTCCTGGATCGAGAATGAAGGACAGGGAGGGAGGTTCCCGGAGAGGTCTGGGGACTTAATCAGAGCTGAAGGGACAATGACGGCACAGTCACAATGTTTCGTCCGGCAGAGCTTAGCACAGCAAGAGCAGAGATAGCAAAGGGGAGGGGAGATACAGGCCTGGGATTGCGGGAGGCAGTCCAAACAGTGGGAGAGGGGAGCCAAGGATGTGAGGGTAGAGGAAAGGCAGAGATCAAGGAATCAAAAAGGGAGGATGGAGAGCGGCAGAGGAGCGGGAGTGGCTGGTAGAACGGATGCCAAGGGGCGAGGGGGAGCAATGCTGGAGGCGATCATAAGGGGTGGGCTCAGAGGAAGGGCAGCAGTGCTTCATTTGTGCCAGGGCTGAGCCCCGGCACCTCTGGGCTTACCGCACCAGTTATGAAAGTAAAAAAATTGCTTGAGCCCCTTTCATTACAAATTAAGCACTGAAGGGCAGCACTCGCTCTTCAAGATTTAACTAGTTTCTCGTTGCACCAATATGGATCTTTTAAAATGCCGCCCTCTCCCCGAACTGCGAGGCACCCAGCGCTCAAGATGGTCTCTTTCTCCTTACGCTGTTCAGAAGCGTTAACAGCATCTCTTTGTGGAAGACACTGGGTTTCCATATTGGGGGGGGTGTCTCAAATTGCTTGAATATAGCTTTAAATACATTTTTATGGTCACTGTGTTGTTCATGCGAGACAGAGGCACCAAAATGAGCCTTTGTACCATTGGTTATCATTACCAATAACAAGCGCTACTGGGATTTAGTGGAATGTTCCTCCACCTCAAGTTTTTCCAGCATACAGTTCTATCCAAATCAATAATTATGCTCAGAGGCATGATGCACAGTGTTAATTGTCCATTGTGTCCCTGTGAAAGGGGGAAACATTTTCCTGTTTCTCCTTATTTGCACCTGTAAGAAATGTACATAGATCTGTCTCCCAGTCAAAATTACAAAAGTGAAGAAAAATCAAGTAGCACATCCTAACCCAGGTGCACCATCTCACACCAAACCAGCCTGCATGCTAGCCTTCAGAGCATGTGTACCTTCCGACTCCAACCGGTCCAATCCGTAGGTGACAGCTGTGCTAATCCGCCTCACAGATGGAACGACAGTTCTCCTTACAGAAGATGCCATCAAAGCTGGAGTTGCCAGGGTCGCAGTTCTGCTGGTCAGCTCCTCCACCTGCATTCTCATTCCAGCGAGGGTCTCTGAGGATTCGGGAAGAGCAGTGACTGCTTCCTCATCTGAGACAGTGACCAGGTCTGTTAAAACGACTGAAAATAGGAAACATAAATACCCACCGAGATAATTGTTGCAGACCAATCCTGCAGCATGAGTACCAGTAATTATTAAAGAATTCATTCTTAAAGGGAGGCTTAACTTTAAAGAAAAAGGAATTATTAAATTCCGTTACCATTTATGCACAAAGCTCTCTGTACAATGGTGCAATGAATGAAACCAGTACTCCCCAAGGGACAGCTCTCTGAGTGTGGGAGATCTCCTGTAAGAAGCCTTCTGTTAGTTTTACTTTATGTTGCTTCTGGGGATGCCAGTCACTACACTGAGACAAGATCGGAGCACTTCAGAGGCACAATAAAGTTATGAACCAGGAGACAGATCTAAATGTTTATTGCCCAGATAAAATATTAGGGATGATGAACTTATTATTAAACTCTAGCAGCAAATTAATTACAGTGGAACTCTTAGAAAGGAGTTATTTTTTTTTAGAAAGGAGACATTTTTTTCCGACTGAACAATCTCACTCTGACCCAAACGCCAGTTTTCACACTCTGGAGCACCAAAGCAAAAGGAGACTCCCAGGCTAGATTTGCCATTGGTGGTGTTTCATTATAACTGGTTTCTATTGTATTTATGCCTTGGCTGGATTTTTAGTTAGTTAGTTTTGCAGTACTAGCTTGGTGTGAAGGGGAACCTAGACCGTGCTCTTTGCAAGGGTGACAGAGTTTCTGATGCAGTGGGTGTCCACTCCCTGGCTGATGTCAGGAGGAATTCTGGCGGAGGTAGCACGACGTTCTCCTGCAGCTCTATACCACCCCCAGGGCGTGCTTCTGGGGGAGCCAGAATCCAGCCCTAAAGGCTTTAGAAGGTCTATCAGGAAAGCAAGCAGATACAGTAAAGAAAATCCCATCAAATGCCTGCCAGAGATAAAGATCTTTCATTAATTCCCCACAACAAAAGGCTAGTAATTAGTCTCACATCCCTTTGGGCTCAGTCCCAAGGAAGGAGAGACTGTAACCATATTGTCCAAGGAAGAGCTCCCAGCTGCACTAGGGCAGGTGAGAGGCACATCCCTGCTCACTCTCCATCCTTCCCCACCCATTAGTGTGTGGGTGAGACTGTCAGGAGCAGAGTCCTTGCTCTTCCCCCTGCATCCAGAGCCACTACTGACGCAGCACTTACACAGAAGACATGGGCAGTTCTTACGTCCCTCTGGGCCTCTGTGTGGCTGCATTAGAGGTAGGAATAATCTGACACATCTGACTCCCACGAACTCCAACTCAGCTGCCTTTGATCTCCTTGCCCGTAACGCTGCCAAGAGGCCTGCATCCCCTGACACATATAAGAGGGGTGATGGCTAGAGAAGCAAGGACACAAGCCACTTAGGGAGTGGAAGACAAAAGCCAATGCCTCTGAAATGAACTGGCAACCAGGGAGGAGCACAAGGATAGGGTGCTCCCTGAACACTCACTCACCAAAGCCAGCAGCCACCTTCTGCTCTAGCTGAAGTTTCTGGTGTCATTCTGCCCCCTCCCAAATCACCGTATTTAAACCTAGCTGTGGCTAAAGCATATTATAGGATGGTTGATTCTTGCTTGAGAGGAGAAGAAAAATCAGTTAGGTTAGAGAACCAGGTTTTAGTCTAGGTATCTACCAAGGTTAAAACCTGGTTCTCTAATATGATTTCAAACAGGTTTTTTTCCCCAGTTACAGTGGCAAGACAACATAGTTTGGCCATAGCCAGGTTACACAAACATTGTGATTTTTGTAGGGGAGCCAGGACCCCAGAACAACAGAACCAATCCATGGAGAGGAGGAGAATACACATAGTATACAAATAGTCAAGCAGGGCAAGCTTGTTTTGCAATGAAAATAGTGAACTGATAATGTGCAGCAGGAGGCATCTGAATTAAAGTTGTTTCCGGCACAGGAACAACAAGACCAGTAAGATTTTATTTATCCTAAAGAAAAAAGTAAAGCGTGTAGAGAAATGAAAGCAGAAAACCCTACCTTCAGCATCTAGGGTTTTTGCAACAGACAAATGGGTGGCAGTAAAGGAGACAGTAGTGGCTGAGTGTTCTGACTTTTTCGACAGCTGGGCTACATTAGAAACAGTCGGTATCAGGGTTGCCCCCTTGCTTTCTTCCTCTGTCACGCTTGCGTCACTTGTGGTCTCATGTCCAGCACTATACGCTGGTGTCATGACTGGCAAGGTGGCATCAGTTTCTTGACTGGCTGTCATCGTCTCTTGAGTAACACCTATGGCAATAACGTTTTTCAGCTTTGATTTTGAAAATTATCACCGATTTCTTGTATGTTAATTGTGGACCTCCCTATCCAAAAAAGTTTTAAGAACTTTAAAGCAAAAAGGAAGAGGTAAAGGAAATATTGAATGGGAGCAACTAACGGGTTTTTTTTTCCCCTATCCTATAAGGGTCCAATTCTGCCACCCTTACTCCACATGGAGCGCCCTTCAGATAAATGCATCTAATAACTAAATAAGGCCTTGAGCCTGCAATGAGCTCTGTGAGGCGCTCAGAGCAGGACTGGAACCTAAAGTACTCTTCAGTGTAAATGAGGTTGGCAGAATCAGACCCTAAGTGATTAGAAAAAAATCAATAATCAGCTTTCAAAAATGTATACGCCCCGCCCCCCCCAATTCTGGAAGAAGTACCTTAAAACAAAACATCACCACAGGTATTGTTTTTACACATTACTAACTCTATTATTTGAGATAATCCACAGAGCAGTAAACAAAAAGAACCAGTTTAGAGCAATAATTCACAGTGACTGTACAACATAATGAAGTCTACGATTTTGTCACGGAGGTCGCGGAACTCGCAGAATCCTTGACTTCCAGAGACCTCCGTGACTTCAGCCCACAGTGGCTCAGACCTCCCCAGGGGCCCCGCTGCCAGCAGCAGCTGGGAATTGCGGGGCAGACAGCGGGGACCCCGGAGCTCCAAGCTGTCAGGGGCTACCGCAGCTCCCGGCCACTGTGGGCAGTGGGGATACCCTGCAGCTCCCAGCCACTGCAGGTAGTGAGGCCACCAGGAGCTCTGAGCCGCTGCCACTGGGGGGTACCCTATAGCTCCCGGCTGCTGCAGGTGGCAAGGGCACCCTGGAGTTCTGAGTTGCAGCGGGGGGACCACGTAGCTCCTGGCAACCACTGCTAGCTGGACCCCCTCACAGTTCCAAGCCGCCGTGGGCATGGGGGGCACCCCGCAGCGCCCAGCTGCTACAGGTAGCAGGGGTCCCTGGATCTCCTAGCCACGGGCGGCAGGGGACCCTGGACCTCTGAGCCCCCACAGGTGGTAGGGGCCTTCTGAGCTCAGAGCCAGGGCCCCTGCAGCTGGTGTGGGCGCTGTGGGGACTCCACAGCTCCCCATTTTGTCACACATATTTTTAGAAACAGTCATGGTCAGATCACAGGCTCCTGGGAATTTTTCTTTATTGCCCGTGACCTGTCGGTGACTTTTACTAAAAATATGCAAGACAAAATCTTAGCCTTAAATGTAATGGATTAACAAACTCCTATAAAAGCAGAATCAAAACACAAAAATTGTCTTTGTTTTGTTTTCCAGGCACAGAGGTGGGGTGTAGAGGTTTTTTTTCACATCTTGAGGTAGGAAGGACTTAGCACAATGTGGTTCTACCCCATGGCTAGGGTTCCTTGGCACCACGGTAATACTAAGAAATAAAATAACAACAACAACAACAAATAATAGCAGCAGCATCCACTGTTCATGGCATGAAAAAGCACCACTGCACTGTCTCATGGAAGGAATCTGTTTTCTCTCTCATTTTCAGTTTTGTATGGTTTAAAATACTCTTCCACGTCAGTGGCACATTGCTTGTTCTGCCTAGTTCCTCTTGAATATAAATACTACAGCTGTGAGGAACTGCTATGCACAGAGCCAGGGAAGGCATAGACTACTTCTGTGCATACCTTGCCCATCCAGTTTACCCAATGTGACTCAATTCTAACCTATAACCAGAGCCTGGAGCTCTCTGCAAGCTCACATAAACTGCCTATGAATCTGAGCCAGATCACAGAATTCTGAGCTGTCTGCAAACTTCTTGAGCAGCAGCAATTGCTCCAGGATGAAGAGGCTGAAGGTCAACAACTCTTCCATTCCCACATCATCTAAGACAACATCAGTGGCTCCAGGCCCTCCGTTAACCTGCTCTTGCTGTTCCAGTGGAATCATTGCACTGAGCCTTCAGATTCTACAAAGTCACAGGCTACAGCTAAAACTCACTACAGAAACAGATGTACCTGGCTTGAAGATGGTTCACTGTGTTCACACCCCCAGCACTTGAGTTTAAGTTTACAGCCATCACACAATTTAAAGACAGGTACGACCCTGGAAGCCAACTGGAGTTGCACTTGCTTACACCAGGGCTGAATTTGGTCCATAGACTGAGTGGCCCCAGTAGGAGCTCTGAAGTTCCTACCTTATGGAACAGTGAATGCAGGAATACGCACACACACACACACAAGGGACAGTGTCAACTTGAAATTTTTTACTAACAAACCCCCCCTCCCAAGTTTTTGATAATATATAAATGGTGTCCTGTGCACAGAAATTTTTAAAAGTCTCCTTAAAACAGTTTTTATATTTCTTTTTTCTTTCTCCTCCCCCAGTGATGGTTATATATAGAGAGCAAGTTCATCAGACACTCGGGCACAGCCTTAACCCCCATGTGTCTATCTGCTTCTGCCTTTTCAGCTTCAGCTTTGCTGCTTCTGTTACTGGTAAACATTTTCTCCCCAGGGCATGAGGCAGAGCATACATATCAGCTCAGTGCATGAGAGTGATCTCGCTTCAGTGTGGGAGGCTTGAACTGATCATCAACAAAAGAGTGAAACTGGTTGAACATTAGGAAAAACTTCCTAACTGTCAGGGTGGTTCAGCACTGGAATAAATTGCCCAGGCAGGTTGTGGAATCTCTGTCATTGGAGATTTTTAAGAGCAGGTCAGACAAACATCTGTCAGGGATGGTTTAGATAATACTTAGCCCTGCCATGATTGCAGGGGATTGGACTAGATGACCTCCCTTTCAGTTCTACGATTCTATGATTATACACAAGGTGTTGTCAAAAACTCAAAATGCACAGAAAAAGTATATTTAGTCATTTCATTCATTTCTAGCAATCTTAGTTGTTACTCATAGCTATAGCAGGCACAAAAATGTATAACAGCAGCCCTTTAAACATTTATACTGCAGATGCAGGTTAGCCTCTAGCTATAAATCAAAGCCATCTTTGTTCGCTTTTGTTCTTCGATTTTAAGGAGACAAATGAATAACAAAGGTGCTTCTCCCAATACCCATGTTGGAAGGCAAGTGTAGGTTTTTATTTCGATGTGGGTAGGCAAGTTACCTTTTAATGAATTTCCCAGGGTAAGGAAGATATTCGATTTTGTGTCCGTCATAGTAACAGCCTCTGGCCATGACAAGGAGACACTTTTCCTATCATCCATTGTGACTGGTTCTGTATTTTCCTTTGTGTTTACAGAAGTCACTTCAGTTTCTGCCAAGGGACGTGTGAGATAAACAGAAGTTTGGCCAGTGGAAACTGTTGGCATCACCTGCCCCTGCATTGACACCTGTACTTGGCCCAGAATACACGTTTTTTTCTAGTTTCATGGTTGTTGCATGTGTAAACGGCATGCCTCTTTTCACATCATCTTCATCATCCTCTCCTCCCGTTGCCCAAGGAGGTTCCGCTACCACATTGTTCTGTTTTTTCTCCTCATGCTTTGAGCCTCTTACCTGATTTATAGTTCCTAATTTTGTATCATCCCAATCATCACTCAGTACAGAGACAGCTGGAGCACCTGTGACAGCACTAGCTGCCACTCCTAAGCTTCCTTGCCCACTGTCCGTTTTTGTTTCCAAATGTAGGGAGGCATCAGTGGGTACAAATGTCTGTTTCGCAGTGAGGACAGAGGTACGGGCATCTGTCAACTGCAAAGGGCTCCCTACATTTGGCCCCAGTGTTCCAGGCTCAGAATCAGCGGTTTGATGAGCCAAAAGTAAAGGGCTTGTGGGGTAGTCACTCACCACTTCTAAGTTTGGGCTTCGGGGATGCAGAGTGGGCAATTCTTTATTATTAAGCTGGGGTGTAGCTGAAAGGTCAGAACTACCATCTGCCTTCTTCCCTTCTTCTATAGCATCCATCCTAAAAAAGTGATTATCCAGGTCACTAATAAAACTATGTCCTGTCTCTGTGCTACCCCCTACTGTCGTTTTGAACACAGTACTACTGAGCACATCAGCTTCAATGTCCGGATTGAGAGTAGTCAATGCTGTAGTTAGCATGGCCTTTAATAGCCCATTTTCACTTGATTCTTTGCTTGGCCCAGTGGGACTGAACTCACTTTCATCTGCCACAACCATTGACACTGTAGGGGGATAAACATCGAGGCTCTTACTGCCTATGAAAAGATTATCACTAAGACTTGCGTGTTGTGTTTCTCCTTCAGCAGTGAAGATCTTGTTTAATGAAGTCCCAGATGGCTCTGACAACAATCCAGATGGCTCTTCTGAGACAGCAACACTGGTTGATTGCTCAGAAGGGCCTAAGTTATTCTCCAAGCTTTGCATTCTCATCCTCTTGTCTTCTAGCCCATTCCCTGCCAATGCAGCGTGTTGGACCTGTACTGTGTCTTTCTCCGGTTTCTGAAAGGTTAGACATTGCAGGCTGGTGGAGCTGAGCAGGATGCTGCATGTGACCATGCAAATGTGAAATCCTATTGATCTGCTCATATCGGAAGAAAGATGTGCACAGAAGTGTGCAGAGTTGATCATTTCAGAAAGTGAGTCCTAGGAAAAGAAAAATACAATATACGAATGAGTCACTTTTACATGCTTCAAATGAACATATTCAATTAAGATAAATGCAGGTAAGTGGGTCACCTTGACAATGGGACAGGTTAATAGTCTCTAAGGTAATTTGTGGTGAGGATGCCAGTCAGGAACTGACACGACTTTTTTTCCATCCCTGCTATAAACACGACCTATTTCACTCATTCCTGCTGCATTCTGGGATTCATTTTATTCCTGCATGCTCTAGTACCTAGAGACATATACTCCAGAGTTCTCAGCCAGTTTTGATACTGACACACTCAGCATACAATATATACCTATCTCACAGGGTGTAACGAAGGTTAACCAATTGGGCTCTGATCCAGCAAAGGACGCAAGTATGTGTGTAATATTAAGCATGTCAGTAACCCCACATACTTCAGTGGAACTGTTCCCATGCTTAAAATTAGGCACATACTTACGTGCTTTGCTTGATCAGGCCTTAATGTATCACAACCACTTTGAAGATAGAAAATGCTATCTAGGTGCTAAGTATCACTGTTCTCCCAGAAACAGGATACAGTGGTGAAATATACTCTGGATATCTGGTTACAAAATTTCCTGCAGACTAGCAGGCCACATGTCTACAGGCCACATGTCTACTAGCAGGCCACATGTATACACATGCCCACCATGCTGGGTGACAGAAGAGTAATCCTAATCTGACCTACTGAAATATAGAAATGTTATATACACAATAGGCAGAGCAGATAGTGCTGCCTATTTTGAAGGTTGCCAGACACTTCCCTTTATCAGACCTGTATTCAGTCACTTATAACTTTGCCAAACTTTAACCATTTGGGCTGAAATTTGACGTGCCAGGTGTCTGCCTCAAGATGAATTTTTTGGGAAAATTTCAGCCAAAATGGTTCTGCTGTTTCTGAGAATGATGGAAAAATGCATTGTTTTCCCCATGTAAAAAACATCCTGTTGGCTTTTTCTTTGAGAAACTCTAGCACTCTGAAGCTTTGGAGCAGGGACGTGAAATAGAGCAGGAATTGGCCTCTGTGTCAGGTATGTGCCTTGTGCTGGCCCCGTAAAAATCCACCCGAATTTGGCCAAGCTATAAGCCTTTGAAAAAAAATTGCAATTCGTATAAGCTCAGTAGAGACTCCTTGTATTTTAGCTGCTAAAATCTTTAAAGACTCGGTCCTCACTGAGCAAGCTAGCCTCTCTCAGCTCCTATGGTTGACCAGACTGTACATGGTGGGACATCCCCACAGACAGAGTAAGCATGCTCCCTCCAACCCGGAGCTACAGGGGCAAAGCCAGGGACAGCTCTAGGTTTCCCCCCAAGCAAAAAATTTGCTGCCCCAAGCTCCAAGACCGCAACTGCCCAAGCCAAAAAAAAGAAAAAAGGGTGGCCGGAATGCCGCCCCTGGAATTGTGCCATTCCAAGCATGTGCTCACTTTGCTGGTGCCTAGAGCCGGTCCTGGGCAAAGCTGAACTTCCACTGTAAAGGGTGATCCAGGCAGGGTTGCTGGAACAATTTTTATAGTGGGGGTGCTGATGATGGAAACCATGTATTTTGTGTCTGTTAATACCACTTCAAGCCACGGGGTGAGGCAGCAACCCCAACATCCTTTGTTCCTGCACCACTGGCTCCAGGCCAGGATGGGGCCAGGGCCAGGCACTGGAACAGACAGCAGGGAACATCTCTCTCCTGAGTTCTCAATGAGCCTCTGCTGGCACCCAGAGAGCATAGAAGAGAAAGGTGCCTGATTCAAATGCAAAGGGGACAAGAGGCAGCCTCAGAGTGGGGAGAAGAGTAGATTGGAAAAAGGAGGCTGGTGATACTTGGACTGGAAGTGGGCAGGGAGAGAAAGTGGAACTGGTGGGGCAAGGAGCCTGCAAGTGGGAGATGGGTGGAGGGGAGGCTGTGAATGGATAAACAAGAAGGCTGGGGCCCTGTGGAAAAAATACTATATAGGTCACGTAATTATCATAATGCAGGTTTCAGAGTAGCAGCCGTGTTAAGTCTGTATTCGCAAAAAGAAAAGGAGTACTGTGGCACCTTAGAGACTAACCAATTTATTTGAGCATAAGCTTTCGTGAGCTACAGCTCCGATGAAGTGAGCTGTAGCTCACAAAAGCTTATGCTCAAATAAATTGGTTAGTCTCTAAGGTGCCACAAGTCCTCCTTTTCTTTTTATCATAATGCATACACCCAAGGGGGCTGCATGAAGATTGCACAGACACCCCTAGCTCTTGCATTTCCTAACTTTTGAGTGATTGACTTTACAAACTTAATAATGTTCTTTTAACATAGTATTTTGTGGTTTTATATATTAAAAAATACAGACACACTTGTACATATGTATATAAAATGGCTAGGCAGTTGGTGGCTGTGCTGAGATAGCTGATTATTATACTAGATTGGACTGTTATCTTATGTTCCCTCCTCTCTCTGTTGTTGCATCCATCTATTGTGTATCATCACATGCTAAGCTCCTAGCGGCAGGGACTGTATTTTTGTTTAGCATTTTTGTGTACAGTATAATAGAGCCCTGACTGGGGTTGATGGGTGCTACCACAAGGCAAATATATAATAACAGTACTCAGACTCCACCAAAGGGAAAAGTAAAAAAAACAGTTAAAAACTAGTTAAGGATTCTTAAGTGCATAGACCACTAACACAACCATTAAAAAGCCAGGAAATTACTAGTTAAATTCTCAGTCTCTCTTTGCAATATACAACCATGATCATCTTCTTCACTTTACATCATCTACATCCACCACCACAAAACACACGCCTCTCCCTTCCTCCCACCCACACTCCTATAAGGATGTTTAAAACAATCAAGGAAAGTGAAGTGATTCTAAGGTCTAAAACATTCCTTGAAAGCCAGTGCTGACAACTATACAAGAGTAACCTTACAGGTCTTACGGTATTCTGAAGCATGCATTTTTAATTTTAGAAAGGATACCACAATCCCCAGTATTGCCAACTCCCAACATCCAAAAATCATGAGATTGCCTTACAATTCATGAGGACTTTTTTAATAACAAATTTGGAGATCTGTTTTATTTGCCTTCTGGTTTTTGAGCCTCTATGGTGCACTCACATCACATTTTCAAGCTTTTCTTTGCACACATGAGGGCTAGAAATTTTTTTATTTTAATGAAACAACTTTGTTGAGGTTCTTACGTATTCACATGACTCAGGAGCTAGTGCTTTAAGTGAAACACCAAATATCATGAGGCCTGTGATAAAAATCACAAGAACTGGCAATCCTGCTGAATCCTCACTTCTCTTTTCCTATCCTGCAACTTTCCTCACTGTCTGGACGGCAAAACACCTTTCCTGTTCAAAGCCTGAGGCTTGGGAATGTTCTAATCTAATCCCTTAGTGTTTTCGAATGACTAAAAAAGATGCACAAAAGTATATTGTGTAAATTAAAAAAATCAATAATACCTAATGGCAGGTGTCTGCCTTTCTGCATGAATACAGATTATTTTCACCTCATTCCCCCCAGGGCTTGCCAGCTAAGATTACTTGGAGATTGTGGAACAGCCCTTTCAAAAGATTTTTAAAAGGAAATTTGACTCAAAATCCAGTGTTTGTAAATAAACACATAAATAAGATACAGAAATATTTCTATGGACTATAAAAAATTCAATGGAAATAATTTTAGGGGGGAAAAAAAAAATCAAACAAACCTTCCCTTACAGTGCTTGAAACTCAATTTTTGTGCCTTTGCATTAATGCAAGAGAACCCGGAGATGAAATTTACTAGAAACCAACTGCATAGGTATTTTCAGTGTGCTCCCTGCAAGAAATTCAGAAAGCGAATATACTACAATAGCAAAAAGCAAATTAGATTTGTAAATTGTTTTTCAAATTTAACCCTCTCAACCTATGTCTACACTATGAGCGAGGGATGCGATTCCCTGCTCATGGACACACGCTCATGCTAGCTCTCATCAAGTTAGTGCGAGTATAAATAGCACCGGTAGCCATGGCGAAGGCACAGCTTGAGCTGTGCTGAGTACAAACCTGTGGAGAGTATGTACTGGCATAGCTCAGCTACGCCTCTCCTGCTGCTACCCATGCTACCACAGCTATACTGCTATTTGTACTCGCGCTAACTTGCACAAATATGTTTCTGCAAGCAGGAGAATCACACCCCTAGCTCGCCGTGTAGACATAGCCTAATGCACTCTTTGTAAAACAGGTAAGGGAAGGTGTGGGGGTGGGTTTAATATACATCTTTTAATCTGTGTCCCTCAAATTAATTATATTATTTTTACAGATACTTTTAAAAACTCTTATTTACTTAAGAACATAAGAACGGCCAGACTGGGTCAGACCAATTATCCATCTAGCCCAGTATCCTGTCTTCCGACAGTGGCCAAGGCCAGGTGCTTCGGAGGGAATGAACAGAACCCGCAATCATTGAGTGGATCCATCCCCTGTAGTCCACTCCCAGCAACTGGGAGTATTAAAGTGAAGTGGGTTTTTTTTCTGTTCCCCTTTTCCACCACCACCACTAATAGCACGTAAGTGGTTGATATGCTGTGCTGGTTTAGTATTATCATAATTTGCATTACAGAAGTACATAGAGTTCCCAACTGAGATCAGAGGCTTGTTGTGCTAGATACTGTACATACACAGGGAGAGACAGTGCCCCTCACCTGAAAAAGTTTACACTCTCAATAGACAAGGCAGACAAAGCGTAGGAGACAAGAAGTATTATCATCACCACTTTACAAATGGGAACAGACACACAGAGAGAGTTTGACGTGCCCACGTCACACATGAAGTCTGTGACAGCCAGGAATTTAACTTAGATCTCTCGACTTGAACAGGGCTCTGTTGCAGGCACAGCAGCACAGAGCTCATTGCGGGCTGGGGACCTAAGAATTTATTAATGATAGCAAGGACCCATTTCAAAGAAGATAAAGCAAAGCTTAAGGCCTGACTTAGCTTTTAAAAAAAAAAGGCTAGATTGGATTT